TGGTTTCGAGGAGAGAAGGAATCGAACCTTCGAGCTCTGCTGACGTGAGACAGCAGAGGCTTTCCAGGCGCTTCACCACTGCGCCATCCCCCCTTGAGCTTACTTTAGTTCACGTCAAGGATCAGTCATCCGGCCACCCCACCCAACTTGACCCAACGCTCTGCGCAATTGCTCTATAATAACGTAATATCATAAAACAAAATTAAGAGATATTATTCTTTATATAGATTTGCATGAGGTCCGAGTGTGCCCTTGAACGTGACACTTCGTACACGTCGGCGGCGCGCGCTGACGTCGCTCACCAGCCTGGCTCTGGCCAGCCTCTATTACCACCCTTTCTGCCTCTGCAGCCATCTGCTAAGCCTGTTGGACCCGGAGCACTCCACCAGAAGCAATACACTGACGCTGCTGACTCTGCTTTTGTCGTTGACGCTGGACTTCTGCACATAGCTTCTTGTTCTCCTCTACAAGTATCGTTGCTGATTGCATCGCAAGCTGAGCGCTTTTCGCGAGCTGGCGTATCGCAACGCTTGTTGGACTCTCTGGCTGCCGACGCAGTCGCCCTTGGAGATAGTGCACCTGCTGCTGAAGCTCTGCTACTGTATGTGGTGTTTCTGTCTGCGTTGCTGCCTGCGCTGTAGCGTTATTATCTGTGGTTGTCTGCGATGGAGACTGTGTTCTGACTACTGTGAGCGACGATAGAGCACGATCTGGACAAGGAGGGACAAGGCCTGTCGCCCGAAAGCCTGCCTGGATGTTCTGCTGCGTGAAAACTGTCGGCCGGATTCGTGTATAGGCTGTAAGGAAGTCTATCTTGTCGACGTGGTAGACCCTATGGCGGGCGAGCTCCTCAACCTCGCGTCCGTACGCGCGCTTAAGAGGAGAGTAGCAGCTTGCATCTAGTGGCTGGAGGAGGTGAGAGGTATGAGATGGCATACAGAGAGTAATTATCTTGTTCTCTGTACAGAACTGGTCAAACTCTGGTGTAGCGTGGCTACTAGGGCCGTCTAGAATAAGAAGACGGTAGACTCCAGCTGTACGAGTCGCTGTATGCTGGTTGAAATGCTTTACCCACTCTACACCAAGCTCATCTGTCGTCCAGCCATTCTCTGAGACGCCAATAGCCCAGTCTGGTGGGAGATTGCGGTACCAGCTACTCTGGTGGACCTTACCAGCCAGTATCACGAACGGTGGCAGAGACCAGCCAGACGCGTTGACGCATTCGATCGCTGTAACCCACTCACGATTACCTGGCTGTACGACGACTGCCCGACCAACTCTATCAGAGCCAGTCACGACTTTTGACGTGCTAGCGACGCCCATCGCGAACCCAGTCTCGTCAAAGTTATACTAGATATCCTGGTCTAGCACGCCGTACGTCT